ATGTTTTCTTAAGTTTTATAGCTTTACATTTCACATTTAATTCCATTTTACATAGACCTTTTTTTTAATATGGTGTGAGGTTTAGGTCAAGGTTCATTTTCTTGCCTATACTGTCCAATTGTTGGCATTTGTTGAAAAGCATCATTTGTTGAAAAGCATCATTTGTTGAAAAGACTATTCTCCCTCCATTGAATTGCTTTTGCACCTTTGTCAAAAATCAATTGGGTATTATTTGTGTTGATCTATTTCTGAGTTCTCTATTCTGTTCCCTCAATCTGTCTATTCCTCTGCCAATACCACACTGTCTTGATCAATTAAGCTATATATATTAGGCTTAACATAAGGTAGAATGACTCCTCCCACTTTCTTGTTTTTTTTTTCAATATTGTTTTAGCTATTCTAGCTCCATTCATGCTGTTCATTTTACTTTACTGTACTGCTTATTCTTGCTTTTAAGGTCTTCCCTATGCCTAGTAGAGGTATGACAGCCTAAGAAAGAAGAAAAAAGAATCAAGAAGAAAAAAAATTGTAATATAGTACCACCACTCTAAAACACTACCCATGTAATTTCTATCCATCTAACCCAATCACATCCCAGTTTCTTCATGAAAGATTCTCTACTATTCCAGCCACTTTCGTTTTTTTATTTTTGTTACTGAGGTATAGTTAATGTACAATAGTGTATGTTTCAGGTGTATAACATAGTGAATCACAATTTTTAAAGGTTATACCCCATTCACAGTTATTATAAAATATTGGCTATATTCCCTGTGTTATACAACATATTCTTGTAGCTTATTTGTTTTATACTTAGTAGTTTGTACCTCTTAATCCCCTACCCCTATCTTACCCCTCCCCCTTCCCTCTCCTTACTAGTAACCACCAGATTGTTCTCTGTACCTGTGAATTTGTTTCTTTTTTTGTTATATTCACTAGATTGTTTTATATTTTATTCCACATATAAGTAATATCATACAGGGTTTACCTTTCGCCAGGCCACTTCAGTATCTCTAAATGCAATAGCTAATATATCTCTACTCATTAGTAAAAAGTCATTTACCTCCTTTTGATATTTGTAAATATATTTGTGTCCAACACAATGTCTATTCTCAAAGGACATGGTCCATGTTTTAGAATTCTTTATATTCCTCCAGAAGCTTCAATAAACATTGAATTAAGGATTATTTATCTAATTGGAACTTACAACACAGAGAAACTAGAACATCTAGAACAAGAGTAAAAAATTAGCTAATTGCTACATTGTTCCTAGTAATAAGATCATTATCTCACTAAATCTCAAGATTTTAAATTTAATCTCATTTCTCAATTAAACTGTTATAAAAGTATACTTCTAGGCTTTTTTCCTTTTTCTTGGTGAGATAACTTAGGTAAAGAAAGAGAAGGTAGTGAATACTGAATTATGGTGATTTCCTTTTTTTCTCCTTCTGTTTGCCAAAAATGTCACTATACATCTAAATTTTAGGGCCATAAGATATGATTCACCCCTAATATATCAATACCATGTACATCTACCCAAAAAGTAAAATGACCCAAGGGATTAGAATATTGATTTAAGTAAATGTAAAATGGAACTAGTAAAAGAATTTACCAAATCCAATTTCCTATGGTCCTAACTATATTAACTCTATGGGGTATTTGTGTCCTTTGGATAGCATACTGAAAGGCTCTCTCTCTTAATCATCAATGCTTTGCTCACAAGATTTCAACAAAGTAAGGTGCAGTACGTGAAACAATATAGCTGCTTAATCCATGTTTTTTAGCTATAATTTAAAATAACCACAATCTGCCTACCCTATGGATCAGATGCCTGCTTCTTTGCTAAAACAGATATATGCACGACCCCCTCCCCAAAAGTTTTTTGTTCATTAGCTGCCTGTGAGTTTAGACTGTTTAAATAATTTAAATAAATGTAATAAAACTATATGCAGATTAGCTCCTCCTTTTCTTACAAAATATATATGTTACTACAACATTGCTGAAACTTACTATTTTGTTCCTCTTCAATTCTTTCACTGTAATATGGGACTACGCAGGCAGGGTAGGCTACATACAGTCAGGGAAGTTTCAGAGCCATCAGTCTTACAAGCTTTCATCTAGTGTGTCTCTGGTGCCCTTGAAGGAATCTTCTCTAAGACCCTAAATGATGCTCTGACATTTAAGTACATGAACTGCAATTCTCAGAATACATACATTAATAAGGCTCTTTCTAGTTCTGCCCTTTTCACTTCAACACTTTATTACAGAGACTACAATATGCATCTGCACAATGTAATATACAGTCCAGGAGGATTGGAGCCAGGAACCCCCACGGATATGAAAATCCAAGGATGCTCAAGTCCCTCATATAAAATGGCATAGTATTTGCATATAACCCAAGGCACATCCTCCCCTATACTTTAAATCATCTCTAGATTACCTACAATACCTAATACAATGTAAATTCTATGTAAATAGTTGTAAATACAATGTTAATGCTATAAAAATAGTTGCTGGTGCACAGCAAATTCAAGTTTTGTTTTTTGGAACTTTCTGAAATTTTTCTTCCCCTGCATATTTTCGATCCACACTTGGTTCAATCTGTGGTTGTGGAACCTACAGACCCGGAGGGCTGGCTGTACTACTACAACCTCCACCACTAACACTACCATTCCCATCACATACAGAAAATCCCACTATTTGATTAGCAAAAATTAAGACACTTCATGGTTCGTGTGTTGTGAGAACAGAGAGTAACCTGAACTCAGACACCGCTAGTGAGAACGTACACTGGTACAACCACTTCGGAAAACAATTTACTATCTCCTAAAGCTGAACACATGTGCACACATGCCTTTATTCTCTCAAGACAAGTACACCAGGAGACGCGTGCTGCATATTCACAGCAGCACTTTTCATAGCACCAAAAAATGCAAACAACCCAAATGCTGATCGAAAGAAGACTGTGGTATATTCACACAGCAGGATTTTACACACCAGTGAAAAACTAATGAAGTATAGTTAAACATAACAGGGATAAATCTCAGAAACAATGTCGAATTTAAAAGCAAGTCATAAAGGACTGCATGCAATAAACTAGTATATTTATAAATTTCAAAAATGAGCAAAATTATACACATTACTATTTAAGGAAACACTCGTGTAATTTTTGAAGGAAAAATAAACACAAAACTCAGTATAGTGGGGATCAGGGAGATGGACCAGTGAAGAGAGAAGGTTCAATAGGATTGATAAAGTTACACTTCTTCAATTGGGTGGTAAGCTCATTCGTTTCATTATTAAGCTTTAAAATACATACCTATGTGTGTTTTGAGTGTGTATCATCTAGAATCTCTGGAGAACTAACATTCCAGCTTCAGGACAAGTTTAGCCTACTCATAAAATGACATTCCTGATAACTGGGAATGATGCCAAGAAATAAAATCACTCTACTATTGCTATTTGGTAACTAGTAACAAAGAAATAGCAAGTGTCTCATAAAAAATTAAAGCAAGAGGATGAGCAAGGGAAGTGAGGGTGGCTATAAAAGGGCAACGTGAGGGATCCTTGTAGTGATGGAAACGTTCTGCATCTTGACTGTATCAGTGTCAATATCCTGCTTGGGGGGAGAAACTGCATAAAGGGTACATTGGCTCTCTCTGCATTATTTCTTCCAACTGCATGTGAATCTCCAATTATTTCAAAAGTGTTTTTTTGTTTTTTTTTTTTAAAGAAAACATTTTTTAAAAAGATAATTTTTGTCCAGGATTTCTCCGCCTTGGTACTACTGACATCTTGGTGCACCTAATACTTCATTGTAGGGGGCTGTCCTGGGCATTGTAGGGTGTTTAACAACATCCCTGGCCTCTACCTACTAAACACCAGTAGCATGCCCCAGCTGCGACATCTCCATACACTGCCAAATGTTCCCTAGTGGGCAGACTGCACCATTTGAGAACCAATGCTCCAGTCATAAAAGTGAAGAACTGTGGAAATATTCTCAATTGAAGGAGACTAAAGAGACATGACAACTAAAGTAATACCTCATCTTAGGCTGGATCCTGTACTAAAGAGGAAAGAATGCTATAAAAAAAACATTATTGGGTCAATTAACAAAAGTGGACTATCAATGGTATATTAAATAAAAGTACGATACCAATATTAAAAGTAAGTTGATTAATGTAGTTATGTAAAGAATATCCCTATGCTTATGAAATGAAGTACTTGGGAGTAAAGGACCACGACATATGCAATGTACCCCGAAATGATTCAGGAAAAATATATCTGTGTGTGTGTGTGTATGTATTCTGTTTACATATACATGTGAAGAGTATACGTACGTTTGTATACCATAGGTGAATATGATTATAAAGTTATGTTCTTTGTATTATTTTAATTCTTGCAAATTTTCAGTATGTTTGAAATTATTTAATAAAAAGTTGGAGTTTTTAAAAATGGAACCAAAAGTTGTGGTCCTTAAAGTCCTAATGGCAGGTTTCACAGTAGTAGTTCAGCATAAGTGACAAAAATCCCGAGAGGAAAATGACTACTGACTAGATAAATTCCTACTCCAAGCCTGAGACAAACGTTGCAAGTAACTAACTTTCGGCCTATCTCCCCCTCCCCATTCTTTTTAGAGGTGACCTCTCGAATAATGCGGAACCAAAAATAAACCTATCCCACTTTTAAAAGACTATTTCTAGGAAGCGACTCAAACCCACATCCCTACTCGATTTCTCCACAAATCACTGTGACTTCACCTTCAGTAGTTAAGAAGCAAAAACGCGAAAAGCGCACGTGTTCTCATTCTTTCTCCGCAAAGAGTTAGTAAGTTAAGGTGAGTAGAGCAGAGAAGACACAACATCGAATGCCTAGGATGGCTGAGGAAAGGAAGAGGTAAAAAGGGCAGGCAGGCAGTCTCAAAGAGGGAGGAAAGGGTGTATAGGCCAGGAAAAAGGACCCGAGTGGGTGCGAGTGTGTCAGGGCGAGAGGGAGTAGCTCACCTGGCTGTGGTAAGCAGAGGGTGCTGAGTCCCCACCAGCTTCCGCACCTGCATAGCGATGTTGCTGAGCTCGTCGCTCAGCAGGCAGCGGAGGCTCATGAAGGACGTGGGGTAGCCCACGATCTTCTCCGCCTCTGACACCACTTGGTTCCAGTGGGCCGGGGACCTGGAGGACTGACCACGCCAGGAGACCACCGAGGAGATGGTGTCGAGGGGGCCACGTCGGGGCCCCGAGGCCCCGAGATAACAGGGCAAGCGCAAAAGCAGCTGCCGAAGGCTCATAGTTTGAGTCTGGGGGTGTCAGGGACTTGAGGGTGTCCGGAGGTGGCGCGGGAAACAAGCTAGGAGCAGATGAGGAACTTGCGGGAACTAGAAGGAAGCAGCGCTTCTTGACCCTCAGAGGAGGGTGGGTTTCTGGAGCCGTGACCAGAAACGAACTTTAACTGCAGCTTTCTGCAGCCTGGGTTAGACAGACAACAGCCCCAAGTCAGCGCTGCCCACGGCCATCTAGGGTAGTAGCCACAGCACTGCCTTGGTGGGGAGCGCCATATTGTGAGCGTCAAACGCGGCTTGCCGTAAAGACGGAGGAGGGCTGCTCTGCGGCAAAGAATTTTTTCCTACTTTACGGCGCAGCCGTGAACGGCCCGGAGGGGCGGGGCTTTGGAGGTGAACCCCGGAAGGCGAGGTAGGATGAAAACATCAGCTCCTCCCACTTTCTCGTCCCTGCGAGGACAGAGGGTGACAGAGACCGGGTTGTGGGCCCCGAGTGGTGCCCCAGCCCCTTGAATCTGGGACGAGTCTGAATCGTTGTAGGATTCCCAGCGCCCAGCGCAGAGTGGGCACGCATAAATATGTGTCGTGAACGAGGGTCGGTGTCTACTAATGGTCTTTTCGCGGCTCCCAGCCCTCCGGAAGGAGGGGCTCAGGCGGAGGCGCCAGCTTCTCTGGGAAGCCATCGGCCGCCAAGCCCTGGCAGTGGTGGTGGACTGGCGTGAGGGTCGCTTCTCGGACTGTGGGGCTTCAGGAGCTGTGGGCCACGGCTCATGTGGAGTGAGGTGGGAGGCAGAATCCGGACGTGGGGCTGAGCGCTCGTGACCTCTGCTCCCAACCTAGGAAAGGTGGCGTAGCCCCGCAGAAAGGGTGTTTTTTGTTTTTTATTTCCCCAGGGTGTGTCCTCATTCCTTGTCTCTGGCCGCCTCACTGAACCTCAGTTCCCATGTGTACAGCTCAGGCAGAACCAGCAGTGCCCCCTGAAAGGGTGCAGAGAGACACTTCTAGAAGGAAGCTCCGCTCATCGTCGAGAATCCAAAACTACCACTGACTCTAGTGCTTCCACTTACATACAGCCCATGTATTAGTTCATTTAATACTCAAAACAACCCCGTTAAGTAGATAATATTAGTATTCTCCGTGTTTCACATGAGGAAACTGAGGCACAGCCAAGTCGTGTAAATTGCCTAAGGCCACACTAGGCAGGAAAGTAAACCCAGGTAATCTGGTTTCTGAGTCCATGTTCTTAGCTACAACATTACTGTCTAAGTAACAGGTTACCAACCACTTCTCATTGTTGTCAGTGTGGTCCTGTAATGCTACCTATTCTTTATCATGTATGTCTAGCATCCTGCCCCCTTTCTCATCACCCAAAACAAGTGTTAACAAACCCTTGTTAATAATAAAGATATATTACCGAGTTTTACACCCTAAAAAAATAGCTTGTAAAACTCTCTTTAACTTTCAAAATCCTTTCAAATTCATGATTGATATTTTTAAAATTAGCATCATGCCTAATACTGGACTAGATTCGGACTACATAAAAAAATTCAGACTTAAAAATGGGCAAATTAAGGAGTAATTATTCACTTTGCACAAAAGATGCTTTCTCTAAAAAGGTTTAGCCTCAGACTCCCTTTGAATGGCAAATTTCCCTTGTGATTTAACAATCCAATTTTATTTCCAAAAATTCAGTTTAGGCATAACTTTTCAAGGGTACATTTTAGATAAAGTGAATTATGCTCATAAGTATTAAAAACAGTCTGGCCCAATAAATAAGGCAGGCCGAAGTTCAAAAACAATTCCTGTGAAAGAGATAACACACTCCCGGCAATAAAATTCAGGTCTGTTCTAGATGAAAATAAATGTGGAGAGTGAGATACCTTACCATTCTAAAAAGTTCCAAGGCCTGAGCTTCTGGGTTATCCAAGGTGAAAGAAGTCATGAAAAAAAGGAAGGGAGATAAGGACTGAATGTGATATATTGTGCACCTGAGGCTGTTTCTTTAGCAGCATGGTACTTTAAGACTAACTTTTCATGCAATTTCCTTAATACCAATTCACAGCATGTACTTTAATTTCTCCACAGAAGCCAAGAGCATTATTCTCTGGTCATACTCTATTAACCAAGTTTTTGATTATTCATGGGACTTTTAGTCCCATTTACTTTAAATAAGTAGCACTTTCCTTTATTCTTAGAATTAAAAGTTTGCATTATACCTAATGATAATCAGTTTTTAGAAGGTTAAAATTGTATTTATTATTTAATCTTCCAGATGAATACATAACTCCTTAGAGTCTGACTAAAGAGATATCTGAATTGCTAGTGACTTCTGGAGGTGCAGAGAGGGAGAATCTGTGACTCTGCCCTTCCTCTGTCACTGATGATAGTCATTTTGAGGATATCTGTGAATGTGTGCATAAAGGAAGAATACAGCAGGGTTCCTTACCTTGGCACTAATGACATTTTGGAGCAAATAATCCTTTGTTATTGTAGGCAGGGGGCCGGGGGTGAAGGCTGTCCTGTGCATAGTAGATGTTTTGCAGCATCCCTGGCTTCTACTCACTAGGTGCCAGTAGTACCCCTCTCCAACCAGATTTGTCTAAGGACCTGGCCAAATGTCCCCTGGGGGGCAAAATCGCCCATAAGAATACAGGGAAATGGGAGATGCTGAAAGAAAAAAATTCCCATCCATGACATTTACTCCTACAAAGCAGCAGAAGAGGTCCTGGGTGTGAGCAGCCCTGCAAATTAGAGAGTAGTCACTCTACAATCTGTGGAAACCTCCAGCCATACACAGGGACATCTCCTTGGCATTGGGATTTTTCTGGAGACAGAAAGCTGACAAAAGATGGTCACAGTTCCTCCTTCACCTTTCTAAAGATCCTGAAGCTGGTAAAGTACTAGTGGACTTCACTTGCTGTCTCTCTGCGTTCTGCTGACCTTAGAAAGAAGTGAGGTCATATTTGATGTCCTTTTCTTTGGCCAGAAACTCGAACCAGCCTTTGGAAATACAAGGTCTTAACACGGATGGTGTATGCTTTGGGCTTAGGCATTTCCATGATTAGGTGAGTGGAAATAGATAGGGATACTGCAGCCACCCTGCTATCACCCTCAAAACAATCACCTATTGTTTATGCTAAGAGAGTTCTTCCAAAAGTAGATGAAAGCGTGGCATGTATCTTGGGGCAGAATGATAAAAGGAGGCAATAATCTGATTAGCAAAAATCCAAAAGTTTGACCACCTACTGGGTTGGCAGGCTAGAGAACAGGGATGGTACATATTACCAGTAAGAATGTAAAATGCTGTGTAAACAGCACCTATGGAAGGGAATTTGATAATCCCTAGCAAAATTACATATATGTTTATATACTGTGTGTAATTACAATATACATTTGACCCAGAAATTCCAATTCCAGAAATCCTTCCCAAAATATAAAATGACTTATGCACAAGGTTTTTCACTGCACTATTATTTGTAATAGCAAAAGACTGGAAACAAACCAAATAACCATAAGTAGGGGACTAGCTGAATAAACTGGGGTAGATCCATACAATGAAACACTATGCAACTCTGAAAAAGAATGAGGGCCATCTCCAGAAAATATGTCTCGTATATCTCCAGAAAATATGTCAGCTTTAAACAGCAACAAAAGCACAACCAAGGTGCAGAGCAGTATAGTATGCTATTTTCTTAGATAGGTGAACTACAAATATATATTTGTATACATTTGGGAGGGGGGAAAACAGGTGGAAAGGACAGGCATGCAAGCAAAGTACTCTGATGAATATACCTTGACTATATAGTTTTGACTTTAGAATCATATATATGTATTTTACATATTCAAAATAATTTTAAACTCAAAAGAAAAATGTGATTCCTAAAATTTGAAAACAACTGAAGCAAATTACCTAACTGTATATTAAGTTGGTGGTATAATCGCACCAAGTAATTAATTTAATGACTTTAGAAAATACTGTTTTCACTGTACATTCACCGAAGAATATGCTCTCAGGATAAATAGATTTACAAAGAAGTCTTAAACTTCATTCAGTGTCTTATTGCTAGTAGAAATACAGATATTATTACTTTCAAACTATTCTTGTATATTACAGGTAAAAACCAATATTAGAGTTGTTATGAATGATTTTCAGAGTAAGTAGGATCCATGTAAGATTAAAGGTGAATTGGAAATAGTATGAACTTATGATTTTTCCTTTTGAAAAGTGTTTCTTATAACAGAAACAGACTCACAGATATAGAGAACAGACTTGTGGTTGCCAAGGGGGAGGGGGGTGGGGAAGGGAAGGATTGGGAGTTTGGGATTAGCAGATGCAAACATATATAGAATGGATAAACAACAAGGTCTTACTGTATAGCACAGGGAACTATATTCAATATCTTGTAATAAACCATAATGGAAAAGAATATGAAAAAAATATATATGTATAACTGACTCACTTTGCTGTGCAGCAGAAATTAACATAGTAAATCAACTATACTTCAATAAAATAAATTTTTAAAAAATAAGTAAGTACATTTCAGGAAAAAAAAATGTTTCTTATATCCCAACAAGGAAAATTTTACATTTATTGAAGAAGGAAAAAAAATTTACTTGCTTTATCCCTTGAAAAGTCCTAGAAGTAATGATAATCGTGTACCAATGAGCACCTTTAGCGTTCATATTGTACTTTTAATACATCATTTCCTATTAAAAGGAAGGACATTCTTTGGAGGAATGACAGATATCAGGTCTGGGGCTAGAAATGTGCATGATGAGCCTGGGACACCCTGTTGTGCCAGAAGCTGTTAAAGTCTAAAGTCTAATAGGACAAGTCAAAGGGAGAATGCTATCAGCATAAAGGAGCTTCTACTGGCTGAAAAAGGGACAATCTGAGCATCGGAAAAGAGTAAGACAAGTACAATTGACTGAAATTCATTGATGACATAAATCTTTTTCATTATTAGACATAACTAATTGAGTATTTGCAATATAGTGAAAGAATTGAGCATTTATCCTGCCCTTCCTGCAAGAATTACATTTAGTGGTGTCTTAGTCTGGCTTACCCCCTTGAAAGCTGAACCTGGAACAAGGGCTTACTTTTAGGTAGTATATTTTGGACAGCATTCTCAGGAAACAGCAGCGGATGACTAGGAGAGTGAAACAGGGCAAGTCAATACAAGGGTGTTCTTGAGTTAGTCATCACAGTGGGCAATAAGGCCTTGAGCCTGCAGGGACTCCTTGAATTGCTATGTAGAATATACTTCATAATTGTCAGCTTGATGCAAGAGAGGAGCAGTTATCAACCAGCTTC